CTATCACCAGGTGAACATCATCAGGTGTTATCAAACCACTGTCAACCCAGGCAGCTGTTGCTATCTCTGCAGTTTCTCTGAGACCAGTGTGGTGTCGCATGCTGGCCAGAGCTATGCTCGGGATATCTTTCCTATTTCGATTCTTATGCCTGGAAGGTTTGGGATCATTATTTTCTGGGTTAGGGACAAAGTCACCATTCTCCTGGTCAGCACTCGGATCAGCCGTGGGGAAGTCATTAAACTCTGAATCAGCTTGACTCCAATCATCGGCCTTTTTTACCTCACCCTGGGCCTTCTCAAGTCTCTTTTCCTCGGCAACTCTTCTCCTCTTCTGTCTCTCTGTGGCAGCCTCCCTGTCCTTTGGACTGAAATATCTTTGGCTAGAAAATCATGAGATTCTCTATACTGCCAGTCTTCTTCTCTCTCTGTGCTTTGACAAATGCCAGTTCGATCACAGGAATCTTCAGTTCACGCTTGCAAATACAGGAGATGTGGGCCTCGGATTTACAGTCACGATCGCATCCAAACTCAGGACAGAGAACAATTGGGCACTTGCAAGTAATTATGTCAAATAACTGGTCCAGTTGCTTGACAAAGCTGTCCTTAACTGCAAGTTTTCCTCTCCCAAGAGAGATATCTCTTGCCTTTTCCCAACTGGTTAGCAGTCTCTCACTAATCTTCTTCTGACTTGTTATGACTGGAGGCTTGAACTGAGCGTTAGCCAGAGTGTACCGTGCCAAGACAGCTTTGGTCATATCACTGGCAATGTCTTTGTTTGTGTAAGTTCTTTGGTTCTTTTCACTGATTTGCCTGATTAAAACACCGTATCTCAAAGCATCTCTCAATGTAGGCAACTCCGAATTCAGGAGCTCTCTCCCAGACCCAAGATAGTGACTGAGATGGCTGGATTTTTGGTTCCTTGTCCTGACACAAGCAGCCATCGCAAATATTATCAACTTATAAATGCATCAGAATCTGAAACAGAAAAAATATTGTTAGTTGGGTTGTTAAAGAATGAAGTCAGAAAGCAATGTTCACTATTTAACTGTAATGCACTAATGCAGCTGTACGTTAGATTTTCGATAAATTTCACGCTAATGCATTTCAGCAAAGGTTAAAAATATTGAAACTGAAATGCTATTTTCTGTTTATATACACTAAAATTCACCAAAAAAAAGTGATGGGGCCATTAGTTTTAGCTGATCTTCCCTCCTATGACACACCTCACTGTATATATATATATATATATATATATATATATATATATATATATATATATATATATATATATATATATATATATATATATATATATATATATATATATATATATATATATATATATATATATATATATATATATATATATATATATATATATATATATATATATATATATATATATATATATATATATATATATATATATATATATATATATATATATATATATATATATATATATATATATATATATATATATATATATATATATATATATATATATATATAAATAATCGAGACCCTGCAATTGTGTGTAAATGAGGCAGAAAGTCAGATGATCAACCTGGGACTTGGTCACATCTGGCAGCAGGGTCTACCATTAGACAATACATTTTGCTTCTAATATCTTCCCAGTACCTCCCTGTTTGATAGCTGCCTACTACCTACTGTTAATAGCAATTTCTGATAGAAATGAAGGTCAAAATCATACAAAACATGTCAAAAACTTCAGGACAAACATAGTTTAGATATCTAAATACAGGGATGACCAAAACTATAATGGTATTATGATCATTTCAGTTATCCAGGTTAGGTTGAAATTATGTTTTTCCGATAGTCTTTTATGTGTTTTGAATGATTCTGACCTTCACTTCTATGGCAAATTTCTACTTTTTGTGATTCTCCCCCAACCAAATCCCCTGGTTCTCAGTGGGGGTCCCCCATTTTTGTTGGATTAGGGGGGTGGGGTACCTCAAGAAGTCGTGATTTGTGGTAGAAATGAAGGTCAGACTCATTCAAAACACATAAAAAAAACATCAGAAAAACATAATTTAAAGTTCCAATGGATGACCAAAATGATAATTTTACCACTAAAATTACACCCTAAAATTTTGTCGCCGTTTTAAAAAATTACCAAATACGGTAATTATTTACAACTTCACTGCCGCTGATATTTTCTTAGAAAACGAAATTAAAAAAACATGCAATTTCAGTGTGTTTTATAGTGGACACTGTTGTAGTTATGACAAATGTGTTAAAGGCATAACTTAACACCAGCTGTGGGCAAACTTACCGTCACTGAGACGGAGGAAGCAGCTGTGAAGTCCTCTATATTAGCCCCAAATTCACTTGTAGTATTTGACATTATGTGACAGAGAAGTTATGAATTTGCAGAATATTACTGAAAATATTATTCTAAATACCAAAGACTACAGTTGTGAGGTAATACACTGCCACCAAAAACCACTTGAAAACTACTCCACAAGTTGTATAGGTAAATGTTCACTTGTTGCCACTATACTAAATCAAAGTTGAAACTGTGTTTTCTGATGGTTTTGATGTGTTATGAATGTATCTGACCTTCCTTTCTGGCACAAATCAATAGTTTCTCAGATCACTTCCCCCCCCCCTCCATCTCTGAATCTAGAGACTTGTTATAAAAATCAAGGTAAAAAGTGTTGAAAATACACAGAAAAAACATCAGGAAAACATTTTTAAATAACCTAACCTATGTAACTGGGGGGGGGGGGGTTGCTTCCATGGTGTGTACCGCCACGTACGAATATACAAAATAAAATGTCAAATAGGTAAACGTTTATTTAAGTGCTGCGAGCCATTTAGCAAGCAAAAACATTTTTTTCCTGCATTAATTTTTCTTCTTCTCTTACCGGCGTTTTTTCTGGGGAAAAACAAAAGACTAATGTTTTTCATTCATGGTCAAACATTTGTTCTTTAAGCTTTTCCAGAGAAATCAACATTCTCCAGTAAATAAAACAGCAAATTTTATGCAGGAAAAAATGCTTTTGCTGCTTTTGTTTAAACAAAAAAAGCACTAACCTAACCCACTCGAGTGGATATGTAATGTAGTCAGTATTTAACTTATCCTTATTTAACCTAACCTAGCGCGGTTCCTTTGAACTTTCATGCAGCATTATGGTATAAATTATAAACAGAAACACTTCCTCAAAAGAGAACACTGTCACTAGCAATTCACAAAAATTATGGATTAATTTATAGTAGTAAAGCACTGGTTTCTCTCTCGCTGTTATTAACATGCATTTCGTAATGCTTAGGCAATTCTAAAACATTTTTCTTCTATGATATTTCTGCCAGAAATTAAGGATAACCAAGATATTAATTTTTCAATATTATTATATTTGGTCAGTCACAAGTGTTGCCACTTGTTGTTTACTGTATGCGGGGAGGGGGGGGAGCAGATTCTTATTGGCAATAGTGACAGGACTTATAATTGGGCAAGTGGTTTTTCGTCTTTGCCAATGAACAATGCGTGGGTGCGTCGGGAGCGAAGATTTGAATTTTCAGTACCAGATATGGCCGAACAGGTGGAAGAGATGTGCCGACATTGTGATGGAGATTATTTTACGTCAATTGCCTAGTTTCATAAGAAAAATAGTGAGGCAATTTAATTTTTTATAAAACACGGTGTATTACCGAACAACGTTACATGTCCAAAGTGTAATAATCAGTGTATACTGAGTGAAGAACAATACATTTGGCGGTGTCACCACAGTTTTCTGCAGCCGAACAGTAAGAAACGGAAGAGATGCAACCCTGGTTAGGTTATGTTAGGTTAGGTTAGGTTAGGTTTGGTTTGGTTGGTATTTTATTTATATGATTTACTAAAGCAAAAACAAAATTCCAACTTTTTTCCCTTAAGATTTTTGGGGGGGGGGGGGTATCTAAAAAACTAGTGATTTCCGACGGAAATTAATATCAAATTCGTTCGAAACTCATCAATTGTCATAGGAAAAACAAATTTTTAATATCCAAAGAAATAAAAGGGCTTTTCTATAAATTTACCAAATTATGGTGGACAACCAGTGTGGTCTTGCTATAATCGTTAACAGCATTAATGTACACGTTAACCTCACACCCTTGTATAAAGGTCATTGGTGCCGGGCGGCAACACACTACATTATTGTCTCTTTTCTGTATAAATAACAACAGATTTTAGAGGCCGCAATTTTACATCGTTACAATATTGGGTAAAGGTGTAGATAACGGCTACCAACAGAAGGAATTGTCCGAATTGATTTTAATTTTTTCTACACACTAATATCATGATATTACACACAAAAATGGAAACGACAATGCATAGAACCTAATAGAACCTGACCTAACATACCCATAGGTTGGGAATGTTAGGTCACGTTTTATTAGGGTACATGCATTATCGTGTTAATTTATGTGTTAAACAACTTACCTTAATATTGAGGTTGATATACATCAGCAATGGCGAGGAGGAATACGTGGAAGCGTTCACCATCATTTTGGAAACGTCTCTTGAAGGATTCAGCGAGGCAAGCAACATAAATGGCAACGGGAGGAGAATTGTGAAGCGGGATAGACAAAATAAGTAATATATAAAAAATTACTTAAAATCATAATAGAAAGTTGTCGTTTCTCTTAACATACTTAAAATCATCAATACAATAAATATAGCAAACATAAAGAAAATCAACAAACAATTTCTGGTGGCAGCTGTTATCTACACCTTTCCCCAATATTGTAAATTAAATATCGATAAATTTGCAGTTTCGTACAAACAAGGAATCCCGAAAATTATGTCTGTGGAGTCATTAGTTCAGACAATTCTAAGACACTTCAATGACGTTTCCCTCACAAATGACCTAACCTAACCTAGAATTCTCTGAACTATTGATTGCAAAGATAAAATTCCCGAGATTTCGTGGTTATACGGAACTGAAATAATACTTAGATATCAAATCAACTTTAATCGTTTACAAAATACTTACGAAAAATCGATTCTAAAATATATCCGACCAAGAATCCATGATACATTGATGACCACAACAACAATGGTCGCTTATTTTACTATGCAGTGGTCGCTTATTTTACTATGCAGTGGTCGCTTATTTTACTATGCAGTGGTCGCTTTAGTTGTTTACGGGGAATAGCCCACCTATCACAGGTCATTGATCCACAAAGGGCGAAAAAATAAAAAAATGAAATAGAAGAAAAAATTAATATATTAATCTAAACCACAAAGATGCCGGAAAACCAGCTTTTTAAAGTGAGACAGATTGCATGTCAAGTACACTAATACTGACACGTTTCTTGATAAGAGAGAGGAGTTTGAAACACTACTGAAGGTACACCAAACCGAATTGTAGGAGTTGTAGAACTGTTGTACAAGAACAGAAAAATCGACTCAGAGGAATGTGAGTTCAGTATTGCTGGATATGACTCATTTACGAACCTTTCTCAAGAAACTTGCAAGAGGGGTGTGGTTATCTATGCCAGGCAAGACCTTTCTTTTCTTTTCTTTTATCCTCTTTACCAATTGATCAGCTCGTTAGCCGTTTGAGCGATCGGTCACGTCTCTGTTACGCACTGTTGGCAAGAACTGGGCATGCACCGGCTCCTGAATGTACCTGAACCTGCTCCAGTGTTGGTCAAGTCTGGTCTTAAAAGAGCTCACACTCGGTGCTGTCACAACACTTTCTGGTAGATTGTTCCAAGAGTTCACAACTCTCACTCCGAAAAAGTTTGCCCTCACAGTTTTCTGGACCTACAGCTTCTTCAATTTTGAGCTGTGACCCCTTGTGGGGCGAGCGTCCGTCAGCTCCAAGTAAGGACAACCGACTGAGTAGTGCCCCTTGAGCTGCTTGTACACCTCAATTAGGTCGCCCTTGCCCGTCTGTAGTATAAGCTAGGCAAGTTCAGGCGTTCCAATCTCTCAGGGTAATTGAGGTGCCGAAGTGCAGGCACCAGTCTGGTGGCCCTCCTTTGAACATTTTCAACCAACTGACAGTCCCTAGCATATCTCGGGGACCAGACAGGGTAACAGTACTTCAGATGGGGAAGCACTTTGTAGTGGAATTCTCCCCTACAAACGCTGTTTGTCGCTGCCTAGCCGACCCCACCAATTCCCCAGTGTATGCCTCGTGGTCTAGGTCAACCAGCGCCGCCATACACCACGGAGCGGAACAGAGACAAAGACAAAACACCAATAAGAAAGATGAAGCAATCTGGTTGAGCCCAGATTCTTTCTACTCCTACTGTATTTCAGTTTCACCACTTTTTCTTCAATTCCTAAAAATCTTCTTTCACCTCTTAACTAATGACTTCGTATCGTATCGATCTCTCTCTGTCTACCCACACCAACCAGCCAGCAACACCTCCGCCTGCCTGGCGATCCTCGCTCCTCCGCCTGCCTGGCGGTCCTCTCTCCCGCTGGCGAGCATGGCGACCCACAAGCTGTCCTTCTCTGAGCACCCTCACCAACCAGCTCTCTCTACATCACGCTTGTAACCATGCTGCCTTCCCAGCACCAAGCTGCATTGTACATCCAATCCAACATGTATATAGAGAGCACATTGTGAGTTTCCTTTCTCCATTCCATCCTGAGTGTGAACCAAACAACTCATACCCCACAACTTCACTCTTGAAGATCGTTACGAGGGACGGACCGTCTAGATATCTGAACGACCTTCTTATAAGACCCAATAATTTATTTTCCTGATTTGCCTTCTTCTCGCAATGGCCCGAGAACTTAAGCTCATTGTCAACATACACACCATGGTCCTTCTCACATTCAGTCTCAACTAGTGCAGTTTCCTCATCCCGTTGGGACATATGATACGCCTCCATACGTTGGTGGGCTCCAAAAATGGTCGAAGAAATGGCTGCTCAGATTCAATATCACGAAGTATAAGAGGATGCACCTCTGGGGCGTACCAACGATATGTCACTACAGCGCAGACACCATCTCACGACCGTTAGGTTTATCACACATTAGTTTGTTCTCCCCACTGGTGGTGTGAGTGACCTCACATCACAGCTGGAGAACAGCTATAGCGCGATATTCCAGACGTGGTTTGAGCTCCTTTCCTTCTTTTTTTTCACTCTGGCCTAGGGACCTGCACCCTCAAAAGTGTATTCGTCCTGCAGTCACCCCTGCAACTGTTCACCTCCCTCCCAGGAGATTGTGAACACGGAAGGGAGTTGGAGCAAGCACCCATCCCTCATCCTTACCCAACAAGTGTGACGCACTCTCACAAGAATGGACGAGAAACGCATCACTCTCCCAGTCTTCAATGACAACATTGAAGACTGGATTATCCACACGGAGGCAGCTCTCATCGGCTCTACAGCTACAGACGAACAGAAATACGTAGCCCTGATCTGTTCCCTGCCCACAGAATTCGCCACAAAAGTCTCAGAAACCATCACCAACCCTCCAGCTGACAACAAATTCGCAGCTCTACGTGATGCTCTCAAGCGGCGATACCAGCGGCCTGACACCAGTCTCCTGCAAGACCTAACCTGTCTCTCCCTCGGCAACTCAACGCCACACAGACAGGCTTCCTGACACCATCCTGCGCCAGCTTCACGCTCAGAAGCTCCTTGCAGAAGTTCGTCTCGTCATCTCGGCATTGGACTATTCTACTACCTCGGCTACCTATGCAGCCACGGCGGACAGAGTATTCCACGAATACACTGCTGTGCGCCATGCGTCTGCGCACAACTCAGCGCCCACACTTTCACTTTCCTCCGGTCTCGTCAACCTGATCAGCGCTCCCCAGACGACCAACACTTCACAAGACATGCGGGACCTGCTACTGTCCTAGGGTTGCTCATTTTTCCCAATTTTAGAAAATTGTGGGTGGGGGTGTTTTTTCCCATTATTTCGTTACTCTTAAATTCATTGGTGCCAGAATTAATGAAATCCAACATGTTCTAGGGGTCGCGAATCCAAATATAAAAAATGAATTTTTGCGAAAAAACGTCAAAACTCAAGCTTTTTCTCTTATAGATCAGCAATCGCGCTGCTTTTCACTACTTAACCCTAATGGCTGGCTAGAGCAGCTATTCAGCTTTCCATTGACACCTAATTCGATTGCATGCACCTCTTAGTTGACCTTCTAGTTCAGGTCAAAGGCTTTACCTGCGTTAAGGGAACCAGATTCCAAAATATTCATAGTTTTGACTTTTCCATTTATTCGAAAACACATATCAATATTTTGCCGTCACAGTCTTTTCCATGATATATTTCCCTCTTAAAAAAACAAACATCATTGAAATAGGTCAATAACTCTAGGAGGAGATGCAATTTGAAAGTTCAATCCCCCCTCTATTCAACTCTCACAGTTGCATCAGAGCAGACTTGCTGAAGCCACTCATCTGCTTCCTGTGCTTTTCCACAAGTTGCATGACATCCTGCAGCTGCTGCTCATCCTTCGTGACTGAACCAATGAAGTCCTGCATAAGCTTTATTCCCCTTTCGGCCACGTCATTGGTTACCTTCAGGCTTCTGGAGAAATCTTTCAGCTTCATGAACTCTTCGTTATTCTCCCAGTCTTCCACCGGTGACATCAGCCATGCTGTGCCGCACACATGATGCTCCTTGAAGATCATCCATGAGCGTTCATCTATCAGGTCGGAAAGCCGTGTAGTCTGTTGGAGGTGCACTTTAGCTACAAGTCCGGCACATAAAGGGGGTGGACAACCTGATTGCGGACTCCTTATCCCGAGCTCCAGTGGACATGCAGCAGCTACTCTCCAGACGCACCAGGTGATCGCCTCCTTCGCGCCCACGCTAAGGAGGTCTTTGGAGGGGGGGTGTGTTACGAACCACGCCATCTATTGTCATGATCTACCTACCCAGCACCACGAGGAACGCCATCTAGGGACGAAACCCGAGTATGATTAGTCTTAGTTACCACTCCGGGGTTTCCCTTCTCCATATCCTGGTTGTTGCGTCACCTCCTCCAAGTCTTCCTCATCAGCCCCAGATCGAGGAGAGTTCAGTTCACTCTGGGAAGTGACCACACTAGGATCACCTATCTTGGAAACCTACGGCACAGTGACTACCTACCATCTCCTTCAATACTCAGCCTTACTCGTCAGCCATCTCAGCTCCGCACTTAAGTATTTGTTATCCTATATTGCCTCCCCGCATCCACTTGCTTCAAAATTGTTGTATGTTGTATAAATATGTATATACTGTTAAGCCAATGTTGCGTATGTTTAGGTTAAGCATGGTTAAGGGTAAATTATAGAAAGCTGAATATTTTGTTAAGGAATTTATGGTACTTTATTATACACAACAAAAACTCGCATCCTTTGTCTACCCTTTTATAGTCCGATTGTCTTTGTTTTTTTATTGTTGTTGCCTGTTGGGATCTGGGTAGACTTTTAACTATATTCTAAATCCCCAACTCGTAACAGTAGGTTGTGTCAAAGGACTGGTCTCGGTGCCAAAATTGTTCATACGAGAGCGTGGGAGTGTTATCGTTCATTCCAGATAGGCACGCAGCAGGAACCGCGTGTCAGGAAAGAGTGGACTCTGTGTTAATAACATTCGTGCGTACACGCAGGAGAGATAGTGTTCAAAGCGTACAGCTATCGCCAATTGTAAATATATTTTAAGAACAAGTGAGTTGTCCTTTCTATTAGAAAATAGCAGTTGGGACAGTTAAGTAACGTTGTGAGTAAGGGCGCAGTAGTGTTTGTGGCATCAGTTTTATGATCTTAGCAGCTGTGTAATGAATCCCTACACTGATTGTGGTGCCTCTGTTGTCATGTTAGTGTGACATCGCTCGTGCTTATTGCACGTATTTATATAACTTCAGTTGTATGATATCGCTTTTATGACTTCAGTTGTATGATATTGCTTACATGACTTCAGATTGTATGACAGCACTTGTATAACTTCAGTTGCATGGCATCGCTTGTACGACCTCAGTTATATGACATCATTATAAACGACCAGACGTGTCAGTTGAAGAGCGTTCTCGCTTAACCGAATGTCTCTATAACTGTCCACCGAAAGAACCAAATTGAGTTCACTGTGTCACCAGTCATGGAAGGAAACAAGGCAGAGGGGATAAGCCTAGCCAGCGTAGAAGACCTGGAGGCTCTGAACGACGGAGATGCTAACCGGTCACTCACACAGCCAGGGCAAAGTGGAGAAACCCTTTCACCTGAGAGAAGGATGAAACCAACAGGCAGGTTAAATAAGGTAATTGGGGGTTATCAGCAGACGCTCACCCAATTGACGGCAATGATGCAGAATATGAAAGATCATATGGAGCAACTGTAGACTTTAGGTGATATGGAGGACTTTGGTGAGATGCTGTCATTACCAGGAGGAAAGCCTTTTCTGGAAACGAGTGAAGGGGTGACAGCTGCAATGAAGTATGCACGAGACACACGTTGTCAACCGCCGGAATCAGGAGTGTCTAGCTGCTGCACCTCGACACCCACCCAAGGAGGGTTCCCAACACTCAGCGCTTCAGAGTCGGGAACATCTCATCAGGGGGAGAGGGAACATGTTTCCACCCGTCATACCCACTTTCCGGAAGCAGTGACACCAACAGGAACCCAGAAGGAAAACAAAGTACAAGATATACAGTGAGAACAGCCAGGACGGACAGAAGGGAGGCCATCGGACATGATGTTACCAACCCAGAGACTGGAAGAGTTAATGGCCGCTACGAGGCTTCCCCTGAGGCCAATGCCAAGGTTCAGCGGAGGGACTTGTGACGAGTATTGGGAGTTCAAGCATGCCTTCCAAGGACACATTGGGTAGGCGCCCATACCCTATGCACTACAATTGGAAACACTTCTCTCGGCCTACACCGGCTGCGCTAAGAAATCCCTAAGAGCGTGCCTGCAAATAGAAGACCCCAGGGCAGGATACGAACAAGCTGTAGCCTTGCTAGAAGAGCGCTATGGCAACAAGCAAGCCTACATCCAAGAACTAATAGGCAAGGTACTACATGGCCCAGCCGTGAGAACAGGTGCTCGCGGATGATCTGGGAAACTGCGTAAATAACTTAAAGGTACTGGGAAAACTGCACGAAATTGACACATACGAATCACTGAATACTTAGGCTTTGAGATTCACGGGAAAGATTAGGGAGCGATACGAGGATAGAGCATATGACTATGAAAGGAGACACGGTAATTCTCCAGGGGTCGAGTGGATGAAGGATTTTGTACTGGAGATACTAGACAGGACAAGAAGGGCTTCGAGGGGACAAAGACAAGAAGAGCCGAGCGGGAGACGAACAGGCTCACACCCATACCCTTCCTCACCAGGAAGAATACCTGTGAGCCAAGTGATTTCGGGAAGAGAGGAGGTTGGAGGATGGGACGACCGCACTTGCCCGTTGTGCCCTGGATATCACCCTTTGCAGAGATGCCAATCATTCCTCAACATGTCGACTGGAGCGCGAACTTCACTCTTACATGAAGAACATTGCTGTTTCGCCTGCTTAAATCACGCTATAGCTTCCACTCGAATCTCTTGCACTTCTCGAGAAATTCTATGCACAATATGCCAAACCAGGACGAACCATCAAGAAAGGAAATCTTAGCCAGTTTTCAAGGGATGAAAAGAGCTTCTACCATGGATGCACACCAGTTAGAAGTGTCGCCCGACCACAAGCGGCAGAAGCCAGGTGACTGTCAACTCAAGGCCATCATGTCGGCACCAGAATCAACGACCAGTGGAGCTAGGCCATGGAAACCCGAATCCAGCTCGAGAGTTATGGAGAAAGGGGCTGGAAACAAGCAGGTTGCACTGGTGACCACAAACCGAGAAAACCCGTATAAATGGGCCAGAGATACTTACGGTCGAGAAAATAACCAGTGCGAGGGGCCAGAAGATTACGACATATGACTAGCAGATCCAGGCAGAGTTGTACTCCCCATATTAAAGGTCAAGATCGGGGATATAAGGCAAAAGACGAATACAACAGTGATCACCGGAGCACTCTTGGACTCAGGCAGCAACAGGTCTTACTGCACCGAGAGCCTAGCTAACCGACTACGAATGACAGGAAAGTCTGTTTCAATCTCCATAGGCACGATCCTGAAGGAGAAGAAGAGCGTGAAGGCCAAAGAGCTCGATCTGAAGGTGACTAGCGTTGGAATGAGAAGAAGTCGATCCATTAACATTCCCAGAATCCTCGTTATTAAAAAACCTGCATTCTTCACTGGAAGCATCGGTTGCAGACATCAGTGCTGTTGCCAAGTGGAGGCACCTCCAAGGAACCACACCACTCCACTCACCGGAAAGAGTGGATTTCCTAATAGGGTTAGATGTACCACAAGCCCTAACACCGTTAGAAGTAAGGACCGGGGAGAACGGAGAGCCGTTCGCGGTGCGCACACTTCTAGGATGAACCATAAATGGACCGACTGGACCTGCAATAAGTGACCACCTAGCAATCAACCACCTCTTCTCAGAAAAGCCGCTGAGCCTGGAGACACGTTTAGAGAAACAGGTCAGAGACACTTCTGGGAATGTGACTCAGCCTACTGCAATGAAAACCCCATCTCTGTTGAAGACAGAAAAGTCCTGGTGCTGTGGTCAACTTCAGTGACGAGGGTGGATGGGCACTATCAACTTCCCATACCATTCAGTCATGAAGAGCCGGGACTCCCGAATAACAGAAAACTGGCTGAGCAACGGTTAACGAGCTTGATGAAACGTCTCCTGAAAGACCCAGACCTATGTCAAAGATATCGAGAAGATGTGCAAAACCTGATCAACAAGGGACATGCTGAGAGAGTCCCACACTGTGAGGTTACCATCATGCCAGGGAAAACCTGGTATCTCCCACATCACCCAGTATAGAACCAAAATAAGCTGGGAAGTTGAGAATAGTCTTTGACTGTGCAGCAACGTATGAGTCAGTGTCCCTGAACAGCCAAGTGATGCAAGGGCCAGACCTCAACAACAAATTGGTGGGAGTCCTGCTTCGGTTCCGTCAAGAAAGGGTGGCACTCATGGCTGATATCGAGGCAATGTTCCACCAGGTACGAGTACTGCCTGAGCATCGAGACGCCCTGCTCTTCCTGTGGTGGACAGGCGACCAACTATCGGGAGACCCGGTCGCTTACCGAATGAAGGTACATTTCTTCGGGGGAGTGTGGAGCCCATCATGTGCTGGATGCATTACGACGAACATTCCAAGACCACGGGCAAAAGCTCCATGAAGAAATTAAGAAAGCAAGTTACAACTTCTATGTCGATGATCTGCTTCTTTCAGTAGCATAACCAGGGAAGGCGGCGATAGTCACTCACCAATTGAGGCAGTTAATGAAGAAAGGCTTACAAAATGGATATGCAACCACAAAGGGGTCCTCAGAACAGTCCCACAAACGGAAAGAGCCATGGAAGTGAAAGAAGTACTTTTGTAGGATGACAGGCTCCCAGCTGAGCGGGCATTGGGAATCATGTGGGATCTAGAGAATGACGAACATGCAGTCCGAATCCAGATCCCAACGAAGCCACAAACGAAGCGAGGTCTCCTGAGTATGGTCAGCTCCATATACGACCCATTAGGAATCATCGCTCCGAGCACCATACGAGCCAAAATCATATTCCAGGACGAGTGCAGGCGAGGCATCGGATGGGATGAGCAAATGACTGAACACAACAGAGCCGCTTGGCGGCAGTGGCTAAATGATCTTCCCCACTTGTCTCAAGAACGTATCCCTCGACGTTACCACCCTGAATGTGCAAATCCAATAACTACTGTACAACTGCACCACTTCTGCGACACCTCCCAGCAAGCATACAGGGCTGTATCCTACCTCAGGATCACAAGTGGAGACAAAGCCCACTCTACCCCTTTGTGTGTGGCTGAGCCAAGCTAGCTCCTCTGAAACAGCAAACCATACCTCGGCTCGAGCTATGTGCGGCAGTGTTAGCGGCCAAAGCAGACAAACAACTGAGAGAAGAACTAGAGTTGCAGATCGACAGATCAGTGTTCTGGATAGACAGCATGGTCACGCTTCAATACATAGGAAACACTGAACGGCATTTCCATACCTTTGTGGCAAAATGGATTGGAACGATACAAGGGATATTCCAATGCAGAACAATGGCGACATGTAAGCTCCAACCAAAACCCAGCTGATGATACCAGCCGTGGACTGCATGGAGCAGAATTGAACAAGGACTGCAGATGGATTCAGGGACCCCCCTTTCTCCTGTGGGAGAAAACAATTGGCCAAAGAACCCAAAGACGATTTCTAACCTTGCAGATGGAGACCCGAAGGTAAAAGGAGATGCAACAGTACTGGCAACGGGCACTGACCAGGGGGAGAGTATCCTAAAAGGGCTATGGGCAAGGTACTCCTCATGGCATCGGCTACTGAAGGGTGTGGCGTGGCTCAGGAGGTTCATACAGTGGCGCTTCAGCGATCCAAAAGAAGAACGTCACCAAAGGGATCAACTGAAGATCAGCGAGTTGGATGAGGGAAGATTAGCTGTCTTGCAACTGATACAAAGGGAGGGATTTCCCCACGAGATGGACGTGCTGGAACGAGGACACTCCGTCAGGACTGGTGACGTAAGCAGACTGGAACCTTACCTGGGTGCAGACGGCCTGATCAGAGTAGGCGGCCGACTGAAACGTGCTGCTCTCCATCCAGACCAAAAGAACCCTATACTGTACTGTTACCCAGGGACAAAAAAAAAACACAGAATTTATCGTACAGGAGGTATATTCGACCAGGGCTGGCCACTCAGGACGCTAGCACACTCTAGCTGCGCTACGCGAGACATATTGGATACCCAAGTGCCGTAAGATGATCGACCGAGTATTACGTACATGTGTAATTTGTCGAAGAAGCAATTGGAAGCCTAGCCACCAACGCCAAGCTGACCTGCCAGAGGACCGGATACATCCAGAAGATCGGCCATTCACCTGCACTGGAGTCGACTGTTTTGGTCCCTTTATGGTTAAACAAGGCCGGGCCCGGGCGAAAAGATGGGGATGCTTGTTTACATGTACGGCCACCCGAGCTATACACCTGGAAGTCCTCACCTCACTGGACACAGGCTTATTCATCAACGCCATGATGAGGTTCGCATCCCACAGAGGACCTCCCAATCGCATCAGATCCGACAATGGAACCAACTGACGCCACCACAGTTGCTGGAGGATCGGTTATTTTCACACTTCATTTTTCCAACATTCGCAGACGAGATCCAATTTTCCTTCTGTGGAGCACCATCTATTAACCTCTCCCCCCGACCTCTTATTACTTTCCGAGCTTCAACTGACCAAAGCAGCTTCACCCAAACCTTTTCAAGTCTCCAACTACAACCTTTATACCTCCTTCCGTTCTAAGGGAGGTGTATGCGCCGACTGCAACACACGTACACCTATAGCTCGACTCACGGATCTTGAATCTTCCCTTTATGATGTCATCTGGCTCAAAATATCTCTACCTACTGTGACTATTTTTCTTTGTTTCCTATACTGTTCTCCCAACTCTACCAACTATTTCGAACTCTTTGACTATCTCACTTCTTGCCATGAGTTATTGCTATCCACACATCCCAACACCGAGATCCTCTACCTAGGGGATTTCAATGTACATAACAGAAAGTGGCTTGGCTCTGCAAGGGATGACCCAGGTGGAGCTGAGGCACTCTCTTTTTCCCTACTTAATGATTTGGAACAAATAATCAAACACCCTACATGCATTCCTGATCAACACGATCAACTTGCTAACATTCTTGATCTTTGTTTTACCTCTAACCCCCCTCACTATTCATACTCAATTTCTGCCCCCATAGGGTCTTCTGATCACAACCTTATTTCTATTAAATCAAACTGGGCACGACCACCTCCCCCACCCCCCTCTAAACGTCAACTATGGCACTATTGGAGGGCAAGCTGGCAATCCTTGCGAGAATTCTTCACCGACTTTCCTTGGGATGAATGTTGCTTTTCCACTCGGGACGCCTCGGTATGTGCTGACAGCATTGCTGGGGTTATACAGGGCGGTATGAGTGCATTTATCCCATCTTCTACCAAAACTTTCACATTACAATCATGGTTTGATCGCTCCTGCTCTCTTGCTTGCAGGGTGAGAGATAGGGCATATCGAGCTATGAAACTATCTCCTTCTCCTATTACCCACACCTCTTTCATTACTTCTAGGAATCGTTGTAAGGCTATTCTTCGTAGGGCTGAGCGGAATTTTATTAAAAGAAAGACCGCTGTCCTGACTAATTCTTCCTCTAGTAAATCCTTTTGGTCCTTAACTAAAAACATCTGTAACAACTCCTGCACTCCTTCTTTTCCTCCCCTCTTCCGACCAGATAACTCTATAGCCAACTCTCCCCCTGACAAAGCCAACCTCTTTGGCACCTTATTCTCCTCTAATTCCACCTTGGACGATTCCCATTCTATCCCTCCTAACCCTGCACCTCCTACTGAACCTATGCACTTTCCTATAATCTCCACTCGCAGGGTTGCCGGTGTGTTATCCAGGTGGATGTGAGTAAGGCGTATAGACCGGACGGAATACCCCCTCGTGTTCTGAGGGAGTGTGCTGAAGCCCTGGCCCCTGTGCTTGCTCGCCTCTTTCACCTCTGCCTCAAAACCCAAACTTTTCCTTCTTCTTAGAAGCATGCCTTGGTTCAGCCCATCCCGAAGAAGGGTGACCATTCTAATCCCTCTAACCATCGCCCCACTGCCCTAAATTCATCCCTCTCTAACATTTTCGAAACTATCTTGAACTCCCATTTTCGCCGTCACCTTGAACGCCTTTCTCTTTTGTCGGATCACCAGTATGGCTATCGCCAGGCGAGATCTACTAGTGATCTGCTCTCCTATTGCACCCATCTTTGGTCATCCTCTCTTAGGGATTATGAGGAAACTTTCGCCGTGGTCCTCGACATCTCCAAAACATTTGACAGGGTATGGCACAAGTCTTTGCTATCTTAACTTCCCTCTTTTGGTTTCTCTCCCCCACTTTGTTTTCTCATCTCCAGCTTCCTTGAGAACCGATCCATGGCAGTTGTTGTCGAGGGATCGATCTCTCGCTCTTTCTCTACCAGTATTGGTGTCCCACAGGGTTCTGTTCTTTCACCTATATGGGCGGGGATTTTCTTCTTCTCCCATTTATTCTTATTTCATACTTCTCTCTTTGTCTTAGTTCCTTCAATTGTTCTGTCTAAATATTTCATTTCGTAGTTACTTCAAAACCTCAGACCTTTGGTAGCATGGCGAAGGTTAGGGCACATGGGTACTGTAATTCTGGTATCAAGTCATTGAACAAAAATAAAGGTGAATACTGAGGTAAAGTAATACCCCTAATATACTCTAAGAAATGGTTTATTAATATGAAATTAAATTAGGTAAAAGATGTCATTAACATACAACTACAAGGATCAACTCCTTGGCTTTACTCATCTGCAATTCCAAGTGGATACTCTTACTTCTGACAACATTACTGGTGGTACATTACATTACATACAGCTACAAGGATCAACTCCTTGGCTTTACTCATCTGCAATTCCAAGTGGATACTCTTACTTCTGACAACATTACTGGTGGTACTGTAGTGGATCCTCTCCCCTACAACTCCCAACTAAGCTCCGGCCACGCACCTACCAGCCAATCAGCGTATAGCCATATATATACATAAAATGCTAGCGACAGGGGGAAGGAGGTTCAGGGGAAGGATAAAGGGAGGATTGAAGTGAATTTTAGGAGGAGAGAATAGGTGCAGTGGCTAAACACCGCTTGCGTGAGGGAGTTTAAGTTGGAGGCAGCAGCAACTCGCCTGGACGCGGCTAGGAGGCGGCAGGACAGAGTCAGGTTAGCGTCAGGTCAAGCGTCAGGTGCTTGGTCGGCTTGATTGTGTGTGTTGTTTTCTTGTTTGGAGGAAATGTCTTGGTCTTCTGTCTTGGTATTCTTCTTAGCTTGATGTTGATTTTCTTCTAACTCGCCTCCTCTCCTTGCTCTCTTGAAGTGTCCATGCATTCATGTTTGCGTCTTGTTGTTCGTCTTCCTCGTGTCTAATGTCCTCATAGGTGTGGAAGAAGTCGGAGACGGTGAGGTTGACCACGTGGGCTTCAGCTCCACGGGCCTCGTGGTGTTCTTGATTCTGTGTGGCGGGTGTCTTTTCTTGAGTTTTCTTTTCTTGGGTTTTCTTTTCTTGGATTTTCTTTTCAACTGGTTTTTTCTTGTCTTGGGAGCGTACAGCAAGGAGGGCCTCTTTGTAGCTCAGTTTCTTGTCGAGTCGAGCCTTGGCTATCCTGCATTCCTCCTTCCATTTCGGGCAGGTCCGATCGGCGGAGGAATGTGGGCCGCCACAGGCAGCACATTTTTTTACTGTGTTGGGGCAGACCGTGTAGCGGTGTCCGGGGCTGCTGCACAGGGAGCAGGTGTCCTCCTGCGCCTCACACTTGTTTACAGTGTGTCCGTAGTGCTGGCATTTGTAACAGCGTTTCGGTCTGCAGTAGGGCTTGACTGGCACAGTTACCCATGCCAGTTGAGCCTCCTTGGGTAAGGTTGTATGGTGTCCGATGAGGGCAGTGGTGTCGGACAGCTTCTTCACAACTTGGAGTTGCCCCTTGAGGAGCTCACTCAGCTCTGCTTGGTCCACGTGGGCAATTTCGGCGTGGGAGATTACTCCCAGCTTCAGGTTGTCCCACTTGTAGGCAATCATTTTAAATGGAATGCTGTTGATGTCTGGGATCTCCGCGAGCTGTACGGGCATACCCTTCTCGGCGAAGGTGATCTTGATGTCACCATGATCTCATTAGTTTCAAAGAACTTCTTGAGAACTAGGAGGTTTAATTTCTTGGGGCAGGTCGGCGTATCCGGACGTATCCGCGCCACGTTATCAAA